TCTCTCTCTCTCTCTCTCTCTCTCTCTCTCTCTCTCTCTCTCTCTTTCCCTTCACATCAAAGTTACTTTAAAAATTCGATAATGATTTAAAATTATTGAGGCTTCTTGCTAACAAACTTCCTGAAAGAGCAATTAATTCTGTGACCCCGGTAAAGAGAAGTCAGGTCACTGCAGTGTATGTGCTTGCCTATCTGTGCCTACACTCAGCGAGCTCTATAGCTCTTGGGCCCCGCCTCTTAGCTAGTGCTTGTCATCTAGTCAGTTTGTGCGGCTGAAGTCAGTTTTTGTGCGGGGTCCGTCTAATTACCACAAGCTACCACAAACTACACAAACTTCAGAAAGCTTCCTGGCAATACGTTAGTAATGAATAAATATGATATATTAAGTTAGGCTGACCTAACCTAACCTAACCTAACCTATCCTAACCTATCCTAACCTAATCTAACCTAACCTAACTTAACCAAACCTAACCTAACCGAAGCTTGGATCGTCGACTTGATTTGGCGTCACCAGCTTTTTATTTCCGTCTAATTTCTTTATAAAAAGATACTTTTTCAGATTAAAATTATGTTTTTTCATGTTGTACATTCAGCACCAACATTATAATGAGTAAATATATCATATTTATTCATTACTAACGTATTGCCAGGAAGCTTTCTGAAGTTTGTGTAGTTTGTGGTAGCTTGTGGTAATTAGACGGACCGTTTGTGCGTGAGTGTATTGACTTAGTGTTTGTATGTTTGGCTTGTTTTATTCACCTTTTTTGCGATTGTAGGTGTTGAGCTTCAGCTGTTTGGTCTCTCTCTTAGTCCTTCAATAACAGATGCACTTGTTCCACTGCCCACTAGCTCACTCCACTACAACTAGTGGAGTTGGACGGTAGAGCGACGGTCTCGCTTCATGCAGGTCGGCCCCCGACCATCCAAGTGGTTGGGCACCATTCCTTTCCCCCGTCCCATCCCAAATCCTTATCTTGATTGATGATGATGAAGATTAAGCCATCCAAAAGGTAGCACGGGCATGAATAGCCCGTAAGCCTTATCCTGATCCCTTCCAAGTGTTATATAGTCGTAATGGCTTGGTGCTTTCCCCTTCATAGTTCCCTTCCCTTCACTCCTCTACTCTGACACTGATTACGTTCTTTCTCACTAAATACTTGGCTCTCGTGGCCATTTAGTCTTAACCCAAACAAGGGGTAAAGAAACTAAATGAACAAGAGGGCACATGAACAAGTGCCCCCTTGTTCATGTCCTAACCTTGGTAAATAATCTGTCCTTGTATATATTGTAAATTTTCGTTAAGTATTTTATATGTTTGGATCACATTGTGTGTACTCACCTAGTTGTGCTTGCGGGGGTTGAGCTCTGGCTCTTTGGTCCAGCCTCTCAACTGTCAATCAACTGGTGAACAGTTTCCGGAGCCTATTGGGCTCTATTATATCTACATTAGAAACTTTGAGAGTACATAACAAGTGGTGTTCTTACAGTCCCACAAAGCCACTAAGTGGATGAATCAAAATATTGATGGTTTAATACAAGGAAATTATATTTATTTATATATCACACAACATAACCAAACGGTAAGTGAAAAATGACAAAGATAACAGGTGTTGGGTTAGTATATATATATATATATATATATATATATGCGAACAAGCCTGAATGGTCCCCAGGACTATATGCGAATGAAAACTCACACCCCAGAAGTGACTCGAACCCATACTCCCAGAAGCAACGCAACTGGTAACTACTCGCCCTGTAGTTACCAGTTGCGTTGCTTCTGGAGTATGGGTTCGAGTCACTTCTGGGGTGTGAGTTTTCATTCGCATATAGTCCTGGGGACCATTCAGGTTTGTTCGCATTTGTGTTCCTCACGTGTGCCCCAAAGAATGAGGTGATTTGGTGAAATGCTATGCCCAAGATTACCATCCGAGTTGCCGTCGGGGAAGTGGCTCAAATAGCCTCGGCTATCACTTCCTTTTGACGGCCGTGATGGTCAAGCGGATTAAGGCGCCCTGTAGTTACCAGTTGCGTTGCTTCTGGGAGTATGGGTTCGAGTCACTTCTGGGGTGTGAGTTTTTCATATATATATATATATATATATATATATATATATATATATATATATATATATATATATATATATATATATATATATATATATATATATGTGTATCTTCAGCTAGTGAAATCAAAGGGAGAGGAGTTAGGCCTTACCCTAAACCCATCAAAGTGTGAAATCATCTCATCCAGCCAACCAACCATAGATGCAGTACGAATCTTATTGCCAGGAGCCCAAGTGATCGCTCCCATCGACAGTGTGCTGCTAGGGGCACCTCTGGGCTCGAACGCCATTGAGGTAGTCCTCGAAGAAAAGCTGAACGACCTGAGGAGGTTGGAGGGAAGAATAGGGGTTTTGGATGCTCACGATGTTTTGTACCTTCTCACAAGGTGCCTGGCTTTGCCCAGACTTACCTATTTCCTCAGGTGTGCTCCCTCCTTCGACAGCCCAAAATTAATGGAATACGACTTACTCCTAAAGTCAATAACTATGAAAGTGTTAAACCTCTCCCTGCAAGATGACCAGTGGGACCAAGCAAGGCGACACAATTAGCATTGCCGGCATTCTTATCCTCGACCAGTGCCACAAGTGAATTAGTGAATGAAATACTACCAGAATACCTAAAGAACTTCATTGGGACTCGTGACCCCAAATTTACGGAAGGAGCTGGTCAGTGGGGCACTCTTGCTAATTCACACCCTCGACCAACGTTTCCAAATGACGGCAAACAGGCCAAATGGGATTGCCCCATAGTGGAGAATATCACCACATAATTGCTGGAGGCAGCTTCTGGTAAGAACAGAGCGCGTCTCCTAGCTGTGCAAGCTCCCCATGCCGGGGACTTCCTGTTGGCAGTCCGTAATTCCGCCTTGGGCAACCGCCTGGACCATCGGGTTTAGATTGAAGGTTACATCCTTCGTGGGGGCAAGTGTACATGTATACAACGCTTGACTACTGTAAAGGGTTCTCCGTCAGCTGCGGGCTGTTTTTAGTAAGGAGGTCGGTAGTCTTCTTTGTTTTATAGAATATATATATATATATATATATATATATATATATATATATATATATATATATATATATATATATATATATATATATATATATATATATATATATATATATATATATATATATATATATATATATATATATATATATATATATATATGTATATATATATGTGTCGTACCTAGTAGCCAGAACGCACTTCTCAGCCTACTATGCAAGGCCCGATTTGCCTAATAAGCCAAGTTTTCCTGAATTAATATATTTTCTCTAATTTTTTTCTTATGAAATGATAAAGCTACCCATTTCATTATGTATGAGGTCAATTTTTTTTTATTTGAGTTAAAATTAACGTAGATATATGACCGAACCTAACCAACCCTACCTAACCTATCTTTATAGGTTAGGTTAGGTTAGGTAGCCGAAAAAGTTAGGTTAGGTAGGTTAGGTAGTCGAAAAACAATTAATTCATGAAAACTTGGCTTATTAGGCAAATCGGGCCTTGCATAGTAGGCTGAGAAGTGCGTTCTGGCTACTAGGTACGACATATATATATATATATATATATATATATATATATATATATATATATATATATATATATATATATATATATATATATATATATATATATATATACAGGCGATGAGTCACAATAACGTGGCTGAAGTATGTTGACCAGACCACACACTAGAAATTGAAGGGACGACGACGTTTCGGTCCGTCCTGGATCGTCCTGGACAATCAACTTGAGAATGGTCCAGGACGGACCGAAACGTCGTCGTCCCTTCAATTTCTAGTGTGTGGTCTGGTCAACATATATATATATATATATATGCGAACAAGCCTGAATGGTCCCCAGGACAATATGCAACAAAGGTTGCATATTGTCCTGGGGACCATTCAGGCTTGTTCGCATTTGTGTTCCTCACGTGTGCCCCAAAGAATGAGGTGATTTGGTAAAATGCTATGCCCAAGATTACTATCCGAGTGCCGGCGGTGGGGTGGTTCAAATAGCCTCGGCTATCACCTCATTATGTCCGGTCGTGATGGTCAAGTGGATTAAGGCGTCTTGTACATACCAGTTGCGTGGCTCCTGGGAGTATGGGTTCGAGTCACTTCTGGGGTGTGAGTTTTCAGTTGTTATATATATATATATATATATATATATATATATATTATATATATATATATATATATATATATATATGAATGAAAACTCACACCCCAGAAGTGACTCGAACTTCAGGCTTGTTCGCATATATATATATATATATATATATATATATATATATATATATATATATATATATATATATATATATATATATATATATATAGCATTGCTGCCTAACGTTCACACGTTTTTATCGTAGAGAAAATAGATAATCGTTAGAGCAATGTTTTTGAGGCGATTATCTGGAGTAGTCTGCTATATAGGTGCTACTGCCAGTACGGGAAATGCTATTGATGCGCGTGGCGTTCATATTTACTAGCCATTACAATGCTGGGAATGAAAGGGAAGTGGTGTGTGAGGCTGTATTTGACGCATGCGTTACAGACTAAAGTGGAGAGGCTCATCCATTTTTTGGCCACTTTTACAAATGAAACGATGATGGAACAACTGATTGGCAGAGAATTATTTTGAGCGTGTAGTTGGCGTGATGTGTAGGTGATTGGGCATCACCCTGGGTCTATCTGGTAGGCTGCGGGGATAATACACCAGATTCTTTTCCATTGAAATACAAAAATATTTGCAGTTGCCGTGTTGGTGCATTGATTATAGTAGTGGAAATCAATTGAGATCTTTTCTTTAATCTGCTTGTTGTATTTAGAAAAATAATCTTGAAGAATAATGATAATTTAAATTTAGCGTAGGGATTTATTTTAAAGGTGACGTATAAGATTGATAATAAGATATAAGGTAAATCTGTGTCCATTACTGTTTGCTGGTTCGGGATCGGCAAGCGTGGGTGCCATGATGCGCATGCGCGACCAAGATGGCGACGTGAAAGAAGGAGCTGCAGACCCTCGCTGTTTCGCGGTAATTTCTCCTCCGGTAAGTCTCCACCAGCGAAATTATTGTGCCGGCTTATTGACCTAATAATAAGGATTCACCCGATATGCAAAAGTCGGGTGAAAGAGTGAAGAGTGCGGCGGTAGTGAGCATTGTTTGCTGAGCCCGCGCGACGCCTAAGGTGGGGCTTTGTTTTCATGGCGTCTCTCGCCGGATAGGGGGACGCAGGGCGCTCCTGTGTGTGTCGCCAGCCTCGCCCACTGCTGTCCTGCCCCCTGTGTCTCCTCCGTCACCAGGGGATGGCCGCAGGGACGCGCGTCACGCTTTGACGCCACTTTTGTTGCGTAAATTGGGCGCGCTCAGTGGTAATTATACGCGGGCTGTGTAGGGGGGCAGCCGCTGACAGCTGCAGCAGGTAATGTGTGTGGAGTGTGTTGGTGGTGGCCCCTCCTGTGGGCGTCTTGTGGCCCTCCTGTGGCCCTCCTGTGGCCCTCCTGGTGGCCCTCTGGTGGCCCCTCCTGTGGCCCTTTGGTGGCCCCTCCTGTGGTCCTCTGGTGGCCCCTCCTGTGGCCCTCTGGTGGCCCTCCTGGTGGCCCCTCCTGTGGCCCTCACTAGTCCCCGCCCCCAAGGCTAGTGGTCCCACTAGCCTTGGGGGCGGGTTAGGCTCCTTTATGGTCACTCATTAACACACGGTTGTTAAAATATTTAGTACTTTAGATTTGGTGCTGTGATTGGGGGGTAATGAAGTCATATACGAGCGTGTCGACAGAGCTTTTATTTTTTCCTTATTGTTAGATTGGTCTATATCAGGTTTGGTTAGGCTTTTTTTTTTTTTTTTTTTTTTAAATCCGTTGAACTGCTTTTGGTGCGAAATGATTGTACTTTGCTGAATAACTTACAAATTTGTGCTTGGCCCCATTGCCTAATTATTTCAAATTAATTCCCAGTAAGGTTAGGAATCACTGGTTTAGAGATGGTTATACTAATGGAAACTTGTAGAGGCATGGGAACCACACGGGAGGGCAGTGGCACTGCCAATATAAGGTGGTAAGAATTACCAAGAAGGGCTCGTCTTGACTCACTTTGTCTTGAGATTCTTGAGATGATTTCAGGGCTTAGTGTCCCCGCGGCCCGGTCCTCGACCAGGTCTACCTTCAGGAAGCAGCCCGTGACAGCTGACTAACACCCAGGTACCTATTTTACTGCTAGGTAACAGGGGCATTTGTCTGGGACTTTGAGAAAGTCATGGGCATAGACAGGTTTAGGAGCAAAGATCTATATGGTCCTGAATCCTGGCTCTGGTCAAGGGGAGTTGCTTAGCAAGGATGTAATTACTTTAGTGTAATTACGTGAGTGCAATTATAGGATGAGAGCTATGCTCGAGGTCTCCTATCATCCCAGTACTCCTCGCATGATGCATTGAAACTACTGATGGTTTTGGCATCCATCACCACCTACCTCACTTGTTCCAACCATCTACCACTTGGTTTGCAAGAGAGAGAACCCTTGAAGAGAGATTTGGTATCAACTTGGTGCCGGGTGTCTACTGACGGAGGTGAGCTGCCCAGGGGTGGTATTATGATGGTCCTGCACAATGGCTCAGCCAATCAAGTCAGAGTATGACCTCTAGGGGGGAAGGGGGGGGGAATCACTGCAGTTTAGGTGTGGTTCCCAACATAAATAAAATATTTGCAAGTTGTTTATAAAGCTCCAACACCATGATGGTGCTATAGGATATGAGATCAATTTAATTTTTTTGCAGGTTCTGTAAATTTGTATATTAATGATTATTTAAGATGTTTGAAATTTCATTAAAACAAAATATCCAGTAGTACAATGCACCTTTATAAATATGGACTGTTTTGGCTTCCTCTAAACCATTGATTCACAAAGAGGAGGCACGTGGCTCCCAGGGGGAGGAATTTGTCAGGGAAAGAGTGCCAACATGGTAAAGAATGTACCCTGTACGCTGTGTATATATATAAAATGAAATTCTGTTGTACACAACTATTAAAGCAATAACAAATTAACATTTCACAATATTTGCTGCTTCAGACTTAACCCCTGGGCTGTGAAGTTATTAATAGCTTACAACTACCTGATGCACAATAAAATAAATTTTCCTTTTAATAGTTAAAATGTATTCCCTGATCAGGGTGGGGGGGGGATTATATGACATATTTTAGCCATGATAGGATGAAGTATGTCAAGATACAGACGACAAAAGATTGTGTCGAGGCTGATCTGCACCAGCTAAGCCATGTGATGGGTGTTGCCACAGACATTGACATAAGTATTTAAATGTCTCCGATTGTTTATTTTTTATCCCGTTGGTGTATTTTTCATTTTACTTGTAAGGGTTGTGTTTTGTATTTGTGTTAAGGTCACATTTTGTAATCATGTACAATAAAGTTCCCTATACAGTATATATAAATCTATAAGGGGGTTGGTAAGAGCTGACAATATGTTCCAATGCACGTGGGAGCCTGATGCTCCCTTGAGTGCTGCATATTGTCGTCTGAGAGACTTCAGGATCCCTACAAACAATCAGAGGTGGTACCCCCTATATATATGTATGTATTCACCTAGTTGTGCTTACATGGGTTGAGCTTTGCTCTTTTGGCCCACCTCTGTCTATCAACTGTTACTAATTTTTTTTATATATTTTTTTGGTTCCACCCCCCCCCCCCAAGAAGCATCTCCGTAACAGGTGTTTAACTCCCAGGTACCTATTTACTGTTAGGTAACGGACATTCAGAGTGAAAAAAACTTTGCCCATTTATCTCTGCCTGGTCCAGGAATCGAACCCGGGCCACAGAATTAGGAGTCCTGTGCACTGTCCACTTGGCTACCAGACGCCTATGGTAAATACATATGTATGTATGTATGTACAGTATATGCAACAATGATCACAAAAACACTGATCCAAGTATGCAGGAAAAACCACATGTGAAAAATAGAGAAAGCTAAATGCGCTTTTGGCTTAATTAATTAATTTGCCTTGCATTCTACTTTGCTATGATTAAGGCGAATTAATCCAAAAAAGTGTTAGCATTCTCTTTTTCACATGTGGTTTTTCCGCAATAAATATATAAAAATAAAAATATAAATAAATATATATATATATATATATATATATATATATATATATATATATATATATATATATATATATATATATATATATATATATATATATATATATATATATATATATATATATATATATATATAAATAAAAATCCACACCTCAGGAGGATTCGAACCCAGACAGCCAGGAGGACTATGCACCTTGGCATATCTGGTACCTGGGGGTGGAGGCCTGGTCGAGGACCGGGCCGCAGGGACACTAAAAAGCCCCGAAATCATCTCAAGATAACCTCAAGATCATTTGGGAATGCATCGGACGAGAGAGTGGGGGATGGTGGGGAGGACGAGGGGACAGGAGTGGGGGATGGTGGGGTGGACGAGGGGACGGGAATTAGGGATGGTGGGGACGATGGGACGGGAATGGAGAATAGTGGGGAGGACAAGGAGACGGGGGAGTGGCGGATGGTGGGGAGGAAGGGGGGAATGGTACGGAGGACTAGGGGACGGGGGAGTGGGAGATGGTTAGGAGGACAAGGGGACGGGAGAGTGAGGATTGGTGGGAGGGGGGATGGTGGAGAGGACAAGGGGACGGGGGAGTGGGGAATGGTTGGGAGGACGAGGGTATTATGTCCTAGTGCTCCACAGCATCGCTGGAAATCATAACCTGGCCAATAATACGTAAATAAAAATCGAGGGTATGCAAACGCTAGCAAAAAATATTCCAGTTTACTGGGTCATATAACATGTCACCATTATACCATAAGAAAACTGCAATCTCTATAACTCACATTATATCACTTTATCCAGCTTCTTAAAGTTTCATCAACAGGATTCAAAACTGCATACACTCAGCACTAGTTGACACCAGGCTCTATCCTGGCACAGTGGGACACTAGCACCTATTTTGCTGATAATACCAATACAGGATGGTGGTGTCAAAATTACTGTATGAGAATAAATATCATACACAGCACAATGGCATCACTTAAGATCCTCGGGTACCTCAATAATACCTATAAAAGCACCTGCCACCTGGTATTAATGATGTACAACGGTAGAAATGATCCATGGTACAAACTACTGCATAATCTTAAATATTCTAGCAGTCAATTAACACAAATAAGGCCACTAAAACCTCGACCGGGGCGACACACATCCTCACGACTGGGAATATCAGAATAGTGACCGACAAGGGGCCAAGCAGGCTGGGAGTGACACTTGATTCTCTTTCAAATACTGTATCACATGCTCATATACAGACATTTCTCAGTAATTAACTTCTAATTCATACAAAAACTAAACCAAGGTTACAATACACAACCTTACATAATACACATCAATACATAATAGAATATATCATAATCTATAAGTCAACAGGGAATTCATATTAGCAAGGTATGGTAACACTGGCTGGGGACGGTACGCAAGGTGGGGAAGATGGAAGGAGGGGTTAAGGGAGGATTTCAAGACGTTACCGGTCAGCCGTTATGCATAAGTACAGTACATGAAATTATAAGTAAAGTATCATATACCAACATAAGTATCAAAACCTTGCCTCTGTGGTATACATCTCACAGTACCAGAATATAAATTACTAACATGTCAGGAGGACAATGCATTGAACATTAATGAAATGGATATTACACAATACATGCTAGTAATACATCAGATTCCAAAATGTATACATCCTACATCATAATACCCATATCGTGTCCTATACAGCAATACGTAGCATTCCATACTATAACCATATAATGGTGTTTCCCAAGCTACATGACATTAGGCTTCTGCTATTCACTACACTTCCAATATATATCCACAAATACATGGCAAATACCTTTGGTACTGAAATATAATATAAATAGGTACAGTATATTAGACATACATTGGCAATACACAATTTATACTAGTATATTGTCGAAAGAAGATTAAATAAATATAATAATAATTGATACTAGGCTAATCAGCCAGGATATCACTATACAGTTTGAACGCATCATACACCAGCCACAGTATGATCATAATGGTGTGTGTGTGGTCATAACAGAGGGAATGGGGGAGTGGGGAATGGTTGGGAGGATGAGGGGGAAGGGGGAATGGTGAGGTGGTCTGGGGAACAGGGGGGAAAGTTGCTGTGCCTCAGCAACGCACGCGTGTTGCTGAGCCACAGCAATGCGTGTCCGGGTACAGCTAGTATGTAATTACCTAAGTGTACTTACAGGATGAGAGCTACGCTCGTGGTGTCTCATCTTCCCAGCACTGTCATATAACGCTTTGAAATTACTGACGGTTTTGGCCACCCACCTTCTCACCTAACTTGTTTAAACCATCTACCACTCTGTTTACAGAAGTAAATTTTCTTATATTTCTCCGGCAGCTTTGTTTCGTTAGATTAAATCTAGTTTCGTTAGTTTAAATCTATGACCTCTTGTTCTTGAAGTTCCGGGTCTCAGGAATTCTTCCCTATCAATTTTATCGATTCCTGTTATTATTTTTTATGTAGTGATCATATCGCCTCTTTTTCTTCAATTTTCTAGTTTTTGCGTATTTAATGCCTCTAACCTTTCCTTGTAGCTCTTGTCCTTCAGTTCTGGGAGCCACTTAGTGGCATGTCTTTGCACCTTTTCCAGTTTGTTGATGTGCTTCTTAAGATATGGGCACCATACAACCGCTGCATATTCCAGCTTTGGTCAAACAAAAGTTGTGAACACTTTTCTTTAGTATTTCTCCATCCATGTATTTAAAAGCAATTCTGAAGTTAGAAAGTGTAGCATAGGCTCCTCGCACAATGTTGATGTGGTCCTCAGGTGACAGTTTTCTATTTAGAACCACCCCTAGATCCCTTTCTTTGTCAGAATTTTTTAAAGATTTCTCACATAATTTATAGCTTGTGTGGGGGGTCTATATTCTCCAATTCCACATTCCATAACATAGCATTTATTCACATTAAATTCCATTTGCCAAGTGGTGCTCCATATACAGTACTAATTTTGTCCAGGTCTTCTTGAAGGGCATGGCAATAATCTAAGTTTTCCATATTATCTTGGCATCATCAGCAAACATGTTCATATAATTCTGTATTCCATCTGGTAGATCGTTTATGTAGACATTGAACATTACCAGTGCAAGAACTGAACCCTGCGGTACTCCACTTGTGACATTCCTTGAATCCGATACATTGCCTCTGATTACGGCCCTCATTTTTCTATCAGTTTGGAAACTTTTCATCCATGTTAGCTTACCTGTCACCCCTCAAAAATGTTCCAGTTACCAGAACAACCTCTTATGTGGAACTCTGTCTAAAGCCTTTTTTAGGTCCAGATATATGCAGTCAACCCAACCATCTCTTTCCTGTAAAATCTCTATGGCTCATCATAGAAACTGAGTAAATTCGTTACACAGAATCTTCCAGATCAAAAACCATAATGTCTGTCTGATATTATATCATTTCTCTCCAGGTGTTCTACCCATTTAGTTTTGATTAGCTTTTCCAATACTTTCACTATTACACTTGTCAATGATACAGGTCTATAATTGAGGGGGTCTTCCCTGCTGCCACTTTTGTAGATTGGAACTATGTTAGCCTGTTTCCACACGTCTGCTACGATTCCTGTACACAGGGATGCCTGAAAGATCAGGTGAAGTGGAATGCTGAGCTCAGATGCACATTCTCTCAGAACCCATGGTGAAACTCCATCTGGGCCAGTTGCTTTGTTCTTACCGAGCTCCTTTAGCATATTTTCCACTTCATCTCTAGACACCTCTATCCGCTCTATGTTGTTCTCTGGAATTCTTATTGTATCTGGTTCCCTAAAGATTTCATTTTGTACAAACACACTTTGGAACTTTTCATTTAATGTTTCACACATTTCCTTTTCATTTTCCGTGAATCTGTTTCCCATTTTCAACCTCTGGATATTATCCTTTACCTGCAATTTGTTGTTTATGAATTTGTATAATAGGCCCGGTTCTGTTTTACATTTATCCGCTATCCCTTTTTCAAAATTTCTTTCTGCCTCTCTCCTTACTGTTGTATAGTTGTTTCTCGCATCTTTGTATCGCTGGTATGTTTGGGGGTTTGGCCTCTTCCTATACTGATTCCATTTTTGTCTTTTGGTCTCTTGCCCTCTCACAATTTCTGTCGAACCAATCCTGTTTTCTGGCCCTGCATCTCTGTTTAAGTTTTTTTGTGCCTTTATCATATATTTCACAAAACTTGACATACATCTCATTCACTTCCTTGCCTAGCATCAAGTCTGTCCAATTATACCCACTAAAATAATTTCTAAGGTCACCATAATGTCCTCTCCTGAAGTCTGGTTTTTCAACTGCTTCAACCTCCTTATTTTCTTCCAGCTTATAACGCATTGCATACTTTATTCCCAAAAAGACATGGTCACTTTTACCCAAGGGAGGAAGGTACTGAATGTCAAATATCTCTTCCTCCTTCCTGGTAAATATCAAATCTAGCATGGAGGGAACGTCCCCTTCCCTCATCCTCGTAGCTTGTTTAACATGTTGATACTTGAATGTTTCCAGGATGAGGTCTACAAATTTACAGGTCCAAAAATCTTTTGTTTTAGCTTCATATGCTTCCCAGTCTATGGATTTCAAGTTGAAGTCATCGACTATCAACAGTCGTGATCTATCGTTATCCGCTCTCGCTATAATCTCTCTCATTATTGTTATAAGACCTTCACGTTTACTATCTAGCTCCTCCTTTGACCATGTGCTGCTTAGCGGTGGACTGTATGCATTTATGATCATTAGTTTATCATCCTCATGGCAGATCTCTAGTGCTATTATGTCAACTTCTTGTGGATTGGCTGTCATTATTTCGTTCACCTTTAGGTGTTCTTTTACCAGCACAGCAACGCCACCGCCTTTCCTAATTTTTCTGTCCCGTCTCCAAATTGAGTAGCCCCTTGGGAATATGACCTCATTTAAAATTACATCTTCAAGTTTTGTCTCCATGAGTGCAACAATGTCTGGTGTCTGCAGCTGTATTACATCACTTAACTCCAGTATCTTCGATCTCACTCCATCTATGTTGGTGTATGCAATCTTCAGGCACTTGTTCCCCCTCTCCTTATTCTTCACTCCCCCCTCTCTCTATTGATTTTGTTGGTTTGCCTTTATGTACCACTTTACTGGTTTGCCTACCCCTATCACTTTGTAGAAAAAAGAATTTATTTCTTCTTCATTCCTGCTCTCATTTAAATGTTTTGCCTCGGCGAGGTTCAGTTTCAGCTTCTCTCTTATCTTCTTTTGAAAGATCTCGTCTTAACGACCACCCTTTCCCATCCTCATCACTTTGCAATTTTCTAGCATTCCTTAGTATTTCTTCCATCTGTTTGGCACCGTTTAGGGTGATCCTCAAAGGTCGATCTTTCCCTTTTACGTACCTGCCTATTCTCCTGTAGTCGCACACATTCTCTATGGTTGTAAGACCTTCTATGAGGCCAACAATTTTATCTACTACTTTAGCTACTTCTACAGCTCTTTCTGACCTAGATGTTATCGCCTTTTCTTTGCAGCCAAAAATGATCAGGGACTTACTCCGATCAACTGTATTTTGCACCAACTTCGGGTTAGATGCCAATTCTTTCCTCACTTCTAGCCTAATGTTTGTTTTATCTTGGTTGCTGCAGTGTTTGACTTCCTTTACTACTGCTTCTATTTTTTCCTTCTCCTTGGCCACTTGTGCATAAGTGAGTTGCATATCTTTCTTGCACTGTTCTATTCCCTGTGTAACTTCCTCCATCTGTGCTGACAAAAGCTGTTTCTCCTGTTGAATTTCCTTGCCTAACCTATTGTAGTCATTTATGTTTAAATTTACTTTAACTTCTTCCAAAGCTATTTTTAAGAGTTTATTTTCTTCTTCCATGGCTTTGCAATTTGTTTCCAATTTATTCTTATCCTTGCGCAAGTCTTTCACTAAACCCTCAAGACATAAAACTTTGCTATTCAAATGGTCATTACTTTCTTTCAATTTACTAATTATTTCTACATGAGAGTTCACTATAGTATCTAAATTTACCAACTTGTTATGTAGACTGCTAATATCAATGCTTTCTTCATTGAATCCCACAAAATCAAGCTCTGTTTTGTTTTTCCCCTTGCCAGTGGCCATCTTGAATGTTCTTCTCTGCACTGTAAACACTAGGGCAACTTTTTCTCATCCGATTTTTCACTTCCCTTAGCACTTTCCTGTTATCTCACCTATTTTTCAAGAGCACCATACCTTTATGTTCTCTTGGACACCACTCACTACCATCAACCTGTACTACAATACTTAGGATTGTTGAAATATGCTGGAGCTCCTCTGCTGCAAGTGTTGACCCTAGGGGTGTCACCTTTTCACCCTAAAAAATAGATATATAACAATAATAAATATATATATATATATATATATATATACACACACACACATATATACATATATACAACTGAAAACTCACGCCCCAGAAGTGACTCGAACCCATACTGCCAATAGCAACGCAACTGGTATGTACAGGACGCCTTAATCCACTTGACCATCACGACCGGATCACGTGTGTGTGTGTATATATGTATATATATATATATATATATATATATATATATATATATATATATATATATATATATATATATATATATATATATATATATATATAATATATATATATAATATATTTCTCAGTATTTTTTTGTTCCAGACTAGTTTACTGTTTATTGCATCAATCTTTTTGTATGAGCAGGATATATTTTTTAAATACTATACTAGTAGTTAAAATGTTTCAGTATGATATTTTTTTTCCAGAGCCAGGAGCAAGATGGAGGACGGACTTCTCTCATTAAAGTGGAACAACCACAAGTCCACTTTTTTTCACATCTTGAGTGAAGTTCGAGGAAAAGTGAGTATTATTTTAATTTGATTGTATGCATGTTTCGTAACTTAATGAGTTAAATGGTGTTTACTGAAGCTTGAAATGTTATTGAAGCATGCAAATCTTTGTCCTTTCAAACGCCTCTTGACACAACGTTCCTCTCCTATACACCTCTTGTTCATGGTTGTCTCACCCCCTCCCCCTCCCAGACACGCTCCCCCTCTCTTCCCCCCAACATGCTCAAATCTTTCCCTAAACATGTTTATCTATTCCCCTACACACAAATGCTTTCTTCCAGACATGCTCATGACTTTTTCTCTCCTACCGAGCTTATGTCTCCACCTCCCCAACACGCTGATCTTTACACACACAAATCACAGTTGCGTGATGCATCAAATGAACAATCTTGGACGCAGGTTCGAATCCTCGTCACAGCCCTTGTGGATTTGTTCATACGCTGATCTTTCTCCCTCTCCCCCAACTTGCTATCAGTTTCCCCCCAACATGCTCATCTCCTCCCCGCCAACTTGATCATCTCCTCCCCACCAACTTGCTCATCTCCTCCCCCCCCCCCCCTCCAACCTGCTCATCTTTCCCCCCCCCCCCAAGTTGCTGCTCCCCCCCACCCCCCAACATGCTCATGTCCTCCCCTTTCAACATGCTCATGTCCTCCTTCCCCCCCCCCCCAACATGCTCATCTCCTTTCCAACTTGTTCATCTCCTTCTCCCCCCAACTGGCTTATCTTCCCCCCCCCCCCCCAACTTGCTTATCTCCCACCCCTCCAACTTACTCATTTCCTCCCCCCCCAACTTACTCATTTCCCCCCCCCCCCCAACTTGCTCATTTCCTCCCCTCCCTCCAACTTTGTCATCTCCTCCTCTGCCCCAATTTGCTCGAAATAATGCTGAAAATATATTCTTTGTGATAACTTGCTGACATGTACAGTATAAGCTTAGTTCTCTTGAAATCTAGTTTTGCAGAATTGTTAAGTTGAATATTATCTAATTAATTTTTTTTTATTTCTTTCCAGCATACGTACACTGATGCAACATTAGCATGTGAAGGAAAATTTTTCCCAGTGCACAAACTTGTGATGTCAACATGTAGTGATTACTTTGCAGAAATATTTGAAAAAACTCCTTGTAAAAATCCAGTAGTTGTGCTCAAAGACATAAAAAAGTCAGATTTAGAGGCCTTGTTAGACTATATGTACATAGGTGAAGTAGATGTGAGGCAAAGTGAGCTAGCGGGACTCATTAAAGCTGCCGAGTGTTTAAGAATTAAAGGTCTCGCTGTACCAGATGAGGATCCAACCAAAGCCCAGAAAAAAGGGCCTAGTAGTGTACCTGAAAGAAGGGAGGACAGTCCCCCCGCGAAACGAAAAAGACGGGAATCTGGAGGAGACCGTGGAAGGGCCCCTTCACCCATTATCCCACGGGGGTCCTCCCAATCGTCTTCCTCCCACCCCCCTTCCACATCGTCAGTGCCTAGTCAAGCACCCTCTCAACTGTCAAGTGTACCTGAGTCACATGTGCCATCACAGTCTATGCCCCCACCACCTAGTATATCCCAGGAAACGCGACAAATAGATAGTGGGCGTGGTAGACAAGATAGCCACCCACCACAATCACAACCACACCCATCTCAAATATCTTCTTTAAAGCCGTCTCCGGAGTCTCTTCGATCGCCCCCTAGTGGTGGACCCGAGTCCTCTCACCCATCTATAACATCGCCCAGATCGTCTGATCCATCCCTCCTTCCAGTTCAAATGATTAAGGTTGAAGTAGATGATGGAGATAACTCTGGAGTAAGAGATTCTCACGGAGATAGAGAAGATGGCAGTGAGATGGATGGGGACGAAGAGGAAACTAGTAATGATTTCTCTGAATACCAAAGTCATGGTGGGGAAATAGAAAAGGAGGAGCATGATCAGATGGACTCCTATGGTGCTGACCAAATACCTGGGCCTTCAGGCCTACAAGGGGTGAGTGTGAAATTTCAAGTTTTGTTGCTCTATATGTTTTTTTTTTTTTTTGTTCTCTGTGATCCTGCAGACTCGTAAAAACCTAGCTGCTGTACTGTAGTTCACAGTAATTGAGTGATTCGGTGACCTACAGTATAGTACATCTTTCTCTCTCCTATGGGGGGGGAGCAGATTCAAACTGTAGTAGTAGTTTCAAAACTTTTAGTCTACACAGAGGTAGGCCAGTGCCTTTAATTGACTGTTGATCTGATCTATGAATGACCTGAGAAGGGTCATAGAGAATTTTTATCATTTTGCCAGGTCCTGCCAGGATCCATTCCCTCCCTCCCTCCCTCCCTCCCTCCCTCCCTCCCTCCCTCCCTCCCTCCCTCCCCCCCCATCTTGCATGATCTTGTATCATATCCCCCTCTAATTTTCTAATTCTTTTCTCTTAAGGTTGTGAGGCTGTTTTCTCAACCTGTCCATATTGCTGGGACACCTCAATTTTCGTACTAAACTAGTTGCAAACCTCTGAACATTCTCAAGTTTCTGCTTATGCCTCATAAGGTGTAGGGTCCATGCTGGAGCCACAGTCTCACATAGGCAGTGTGTATGGACTTGAGACCTGGAAAATTTATTTTTTTGGGGGGGGGTGGGGGGGGGTTGTTCCACTTGTTATATACAGTACTCTTAACTTAAGAGTACTGTACTTGAGTCTAAATGGTCAACATACGTAAGGTAACATGTTGTAATCCACAAGTTAGTAGGAATTATTAGCTAGAGGATCATTACTACAACACTTAACGAATGATGATTGGAAGTACATGTTAAGTAGACAGACTATGGATCACATATCTAAGAAAGGTCAATGGATTAAAACCGAAGCTGTTTGGCCAAATTAATAATTCCTGGAAAGAGGAATTATTCTTCGTCAGGCTTCTAGGAACAAGATTACCGCTCTAGGGATAAGGTTAATCGGATTATACCTTCCTTGAGAGGCGGGGTGAAAGGGTTGAGGTAGATGGCTGACTGGAGTCAGTCTGATTGTGGGAGTTGAACCGAGAAGTCCTCTGGATCTCCGTTTGCGGCAGCAGCGAAGTGTAGCAGCCAGCTATGCGAGAACCTGATGTGATCTTAGTGACCAAGTCAAGTCTGCAGTATGTGAGTATTGGTTGAAAGACTAACCGGGTGTGGAGCGTTGTAGTAATCATTCCGCATTAGGGACTTAGGCGGAAGTTACGAGTGTGGGTGGTGATCGTGGAGGTCAAGTGGTCTATGGGTATTGATGGATGGACCTAATAGAGTATGTTAATATGTTATTATTTGTCAGAGTCTATTCTTTGTAATTAAATGACAAAACCCGACGGCCTTTAAATACCTTCGATATGTTCACTCATTGTGTTCCAGTACAAACCTAGTGGTACGCCTCAAGGGTCTGGTGTGTGTAGGAGTACACGGTGGTAGTAACTGTTGCTGAGGCAAGGTGTTATGTGTTGTGTAATCGCTGTGTTCGGAATGAACCGGGGTTCAGCGTCACGACAAACAAGGTAACATTGTAACAAACAAAAATTTAGTTAAAAAAAATTGCAGACTAAATATTCACCAGGGTAATACTTTTATGAAGTACTGTATACTAGTTTGCTGTAAAAAAAAAAATCATTAAACCGTTTCCAATTACATGCCAAATAAAGACGATTAGAAATAGGAAACTCCAAACTCCCAAGAAGTATTGTTTTTTTGAAAAATGTAGAGACAATTTTTAGATTGAAGGAGGTTTAAATTAATAAGTGAAAAATTATATGAATCGACTGGTAATTTATAGCTAAAATGTTTTGAAAATTTTATTTTTGTTTTACAAAATAAGAAATTGAAGATCTCGACAAATATTTTGGTTCTTCTACTTTGTCAATTTTCTTGTAACTTAGAAATAAATATATATATATATATATATATATATATATATATATATATATATATATATATATATATATATATATATATATATATATATATATATATATATATACATATATATATAATATATATATATATATATAATATATATATATATATATATATATATATATATATATATATATATATATATATATATATATATATATATATATATATATATATATATATATTTATTTCTAAGTTACAAGAAAATTGACAACGTAGAAGAACCAAAATAATTGTCGAGATCTTCAATTTCTTTTTTTGTAACACAAAAATAAAATTTTCAAAAATTTCAAAAATATATATATATATATATATATATATATATATATATATATATATATATATATATATATATAATATATGTATTATATAATATATATTATATATTATATTAATATTACAAGGCATTTGTGCTCGAATAAGTGAAAGTTCTGGGTCAATACCTCTTGGATCGAAATGGTAACACATTATTTAAAAAGGCGAACTGGATTCCACATAGGAATATATATACTGTATTCATAAATATTATATAAAAAAAAATTCTGCCTTTATTTAAAAACATTGGCTTCATTGGCACTGTTGTATCAAGTATTAGCACCTGTGTTGTGATGGCACATTTATTTGTATGGTATGCATAATATTTGGAAGATGGGGTTTACAAAATAAATATTAGAAACTTTATTGATGGCAGTGCCAGCCACTGCCTCCTCTTTCACAGCCATAAATGACACTGATCCATGTGCCAAGGAAGTGCCTGACAGTGCCCGAACAGCACCGCTTCATGCGAGTAGTGTGTTGTGGGAGGTGTGGAGCGACATGCATCATCGTGTTAGCTGGAGTCACCCTAATTGCTTACTGTTGTTTTATTTTATACGTCATCATTAAAATGGCAGCAATAAAGCACCAGAGGAACAGAGCGAGCGAAAGGCAACGGAATACAGCACCACAGCTCCTGCTTCTATGAACAATGCCTGTTGACTGGTTGTCTCCTCATACGCACCCTCCTCTTGGCTCGGGTGATTTTGTAGTTGCTAACGACCGAAAGAAGCATTTTATATAAAAAGTTTTCAGATTTTTGTCCGAAAAATCCGATTATTAGAGCACAATCGGGTACAGCCGGGATGATATGACAACAATAGCGAACAGTTTTGCAAGGGGGGGAGGGGTTAGTTAGTTATTCGTAAAAAAAAATTATTGTTTAACATAAGGATGAGATCTTCACAAATGATGCCAGAAGCTACAAGATTTTTAGTGAAAGGGTCCCACTTTCAAAGTTTTGCAAAACACTGATTTACATGGCAAAGGCTTCTACCCCTCCTACAGTTCTGAAATGCCTTTTTCTTGCACACTTTTCTTCACACCCACTCTTATTTTCTTTTTACAGATGGGTCTAAGTCCACTGAGGGTGTAGACTTCTCTGTTGTATTTCTTGACCACACCTATATGTGTTGCCTGCCCCCAGAGACTAGCATCTTCATGGCAGAACTTTGTGCAATATTGTATGCACTTCATCAACTGCGTTCTCCCTGTCAACATTCAATTGTCGCTGTAGTTAACTCTTGCAGTGTCCTCGTGGCTCTGGAGTCATTTAATCCTATCCATCCTGTGGTGGTTGAAATTCAACATTGGCTGTTTTAAATCTCACCAGATTTAAGACTGAATTTTGCTGGGTTCCCGGCCATATTGGTGTTATCCTAAATGATCATTTGGATGCTGGTGCTAAGCAGGCTATCTGCACTTCTTGTATTTCCTGCAAAGGCATTCCTTATTCTGATTTCTACCCAGTCATTCATTCATCAATCCATGTCCATTGGTAGATCCAAATCTGATCATGGAGATTATATCACTTGAGACCAGTAGGCATGGCAGGATGTGCAAAATAATACCCCCATAGAAAAGCAGAGGTGCAATAGGTATGTCGAAGGAGAACTATACTGTATATCAACATCAGGGGCCCAAGAATTTTCAACACTTCTGCTACATCGCACAAACAACTTTGACTGGTTGGTATGGCGATGGCCTCGCTTCTTGCAGGTCTAAGCCCGATCTCCGATGGCCCAAGTGGTTTGGCCTCGTTCCTAACTTTAATCTTATACCGGATTCTTGTCCTCGTATCCCTTACTAGCGCTATGCAGTCATACTAGCATTGCTCTTTCTCCTGATAATTACCTCACCACACAAACGTATCAGCAATAAATGTCACTGTTGTGCAGTTCATGTAGTTTCATGCTGATGAACATCACTTACAGTTTTAGAGGATTGGAACAAGTTAGGTGAGAAGGTGGTGGAGGCCAAAATCGTCGGTAATTTCAAAGAATTATATGATGATAAGTGCTGGGAAGGCGGGACATGACGAGTGTAGCTCTCATCCTGTAACTACACTTAGGTAATTACGTAAGGAGCATAACTGGCCAGCCTCTCAGTGTTCGAGAGAGAACTCGAGAAATACCTCTGAAGAATTGCCTGATCAACTGGGCTTTTATTCATACATCGGTCCAACAGCCTGATTGACCAGACGATCAACTGGGAGGCTTGGTCGGAGACAGGGCCGTTGATTCCTGGCCTATAAGGTCCTGCCCACACCGGGTGCTACACTAGGTTAGATGGGTAGGGTCATTGGTCAAGGAGGGCCTGACAGCCTAGTGGACACTGCTTCGGATTCGTAGTCCTGAGGTTCTGGGTTCGATCCCAGGTGGAGGTGGTGGGCAGCGTTTTTCACCCTGATGGCCGTTATCTAGCAGCAAATAGGTACCTGGGAGTTAGACAGCTACTATGGGCTGCTTCCTGGGTGTGTGTAACAAAATGAGGCCTGGTGGAGGATAAGGCTGCGAGGACGCCAAGCCCCGAAATCATCTCAAGTTAACCTCAAGATTGTTACTGGTAACAAACTGCGTGCTCTTAAGGGTAGCTTGTCTTCTTGGCTTTCCTCATACCACCATAACCAGCGATGGGAAATAGCTCTGGCGAGGTCTTTCTATGGGCTACAGAAAATAATATGGTGTTTAACGAGGATAAGTTCCAGCTCATACGCTACGGAAAACTGGAAAATATAAAAATGG